TAGTCTCTTTATTCATTAGGGATCGCCACAGCGGAATAAACCGACAACTATTCCAGCATAAGTTTTACTCAGCGGATGCCCTTCCAGCCGCAACCCAGTGCTGGGAAACACCAATACACACTCATTCACACACACACTCAACACACACACTCATACACTACGGCCCATTTAGTTCCTTAATTGACCTATAGCGCATGTGTGTGAACTCCACACAGAAATGCCAATAACAGACCCAGCGGAACCACAGTGCTAACCACTGAGCCGCCGTGTCGCCCTTGATGTTTGTCCAAACTACCTATTTAAAATGAGCTGAAACTAAACAATACTTTAAAATATAAAATATAATTTTTTTTGTGGGGACAACTTCTAAGTTTTTGCAAATAGTAGCGCAGTAGGTAGTGCTGTTGCCTCACAGCAAGAAGGTCGCTGGTTCGAGCATTGGCTGAAACAGAGTTTCCCCAGGGTGCTTCGGTTTCCCCAAAAAGTCCAAACACATGCGCTATAGGGGAACTGGGTAGGCTAAATTGTCTGTAGTGCATGTGTGTGAATGAGTGTGTGTGGATGTTTCCCAGTCATGGGTTGCAGCTGGAAGGGCCTCCCCTGCGTAAAACATATGCTGGATAAGTTGGCGGTTCATTCCGCTGTGGCGACCCCTGATAAATGAAGGGACTAAGCCGAAAAAGAAAATGAACGAATGAGTTTACTGTAACAGAATAAACTGTGATTGATCTCATTGTAAGTTGTACATCATTATCGTTAGCTGTGGTCTTCTCTGCAATCTGTCTGCTCTTCAGGTCAATGGAAACAGAGACGTGGAGCTGAAGGAGTCGAAGTTATCAGTGAGTCCGTCTCCATCCAGCGCCTCCTCCAACACCTCCCTCACGACCCCGCCCACTGAGACTCCGCCTCCAGAGGTGAGGCTGATAATATGCAAATGAGCCAATCAAATGTAAATCAGATCACTCAGCTGCTGCTCGATGGGCTATATGCACAGTCAGTGTAACTACAGCTTAATGACTTAATGACTTAAACTTAATGTTTTCAGTTTCATTTTACAGCATCGAGGTTTTTAATGAATTTAAAACACAATCAGTTTAATAAAGAGTTAAAACAAGTGTCCATATTTTAAAGATATTTGAAAGAAGTAAGGTGCTATATTCACTTTAAATAAAGTGATTGTGTCAAATGTAAAATCCGTACAAATTTAATCACAAAAGAATAAATGAAGTCATTCTCTTTAATGTAGTTGATGCAGACTCATTCATAAATTACACTCACCGGCCACTTTATTAGGTACACCCGTCGAACTGCTCGTTAACGCAAATTTCCAATCAGCCAATCAAATGGCAGCAACTTAATGCATTTAGGCATGTAGACATGGACAAGACGATCTGCTTTAAGTGAGCATCAGAATGGGGAAGAAAGGGGATTTAAGTGTTTTTGGAGGTGGCATGGTTGTTGGTGCCATGGTCTGAGTATTTCAGAAACTGCTGATCTACTGGAATTTTCACGCACAACCATCTCTAGGGTTTACAGAGAATGGTCTGAAAAAGAGGAAATATCCAGTGAGCGGCAGTTCTGTGAGAGCAAATGCCTTGTTGATGAGGTCAGAGGACAATGGCCAGACTGGTTCCAGCTGATAGAAAGGCAACAGTAACTCAAATAAGCACTCGTTACAACCGAGGACTGCAGAAGAGCATCTCTGAACACACAACACATCCAACCTTGAGGCGGATGGGCTACAGCAGCAGAAGACCACACCGGGTGCCGCTCCTGTCAGCTAAGAAAAGGAAACTGAGGCTACAATTCACACAGACTCACCAAAACTGGACACTAGAAGATTGGAGAAACGTTGCTGCTCTGATGAGTCTCCATTTCTGCTGACACATTCAGATGCTCGGGTCAGAATGTGGCCTCAACAACATGAAAGCATGGATCCATCCTGCCTTGTATCAGCGGTTCAGGCTGGTGGTGGTGGTGTAATGGTGTGGGGAAGATTTTCTTGGCACACTTTGGACCCATTTAGTACCAATTGATCATCAACGCCACAGCCTACCTGAGTATTGCAGCTGACCATGTCCATCCCTTTATGAGCACAGTGTCTCCATCTTCTGATGGCTACTTCCAGCAGGATAACACACCATGTCATAAAGCGTGAATCAACTCAGACTGATTTCTTAAACATGACAATGAGTTCACTGTACTTAAATGGCCTCCACAGTCACCAGAGCTCAATCCAATGGAGCACCTTTGGGATGTGGTGGATTTGCTTCATAGATGTGCAGCCGACAAATCTGCAGCAACTGCGTGATGCTATCATGTCAATATGGAGCAAAATCCCTGAGGAGTATTTCCAGTAGCTTGTTGAATCTACGCCATGAAGGATTAAGGCAGTTCTGAAGGCAAAAAGGGGTCCAACCCGGTACTAGTAAGGTGTACCTAATAAAGTGGCCGGTGAGTGTAGATGCAGCAAAAAATGCGTTTCTTTTGCGTACTCCATTGGCAGGTTATTCAGCTTGTTTCAAGGAAGAAAAACTCCCTAAACTGGACATTTCTGAAAACAAGACAATAAATATATGCTACTTGTCTAAGAAAACACTTCTTGATTTAAGAATGTTTAGATATTTGGACTAGAAACGAGACTTTTTGTTGTTGTTTTTCGCAGCGCATTGCTAATTTTGCGCGGTTTATTTTGTGTTTTCCCTCAGGCCGTGGAGGCGTCCATCATGGCTGCAATCCCAGAGCTCAGTCTGTCTCTCCAGCAGGTCAAAGAGCGAGCGCACCAGAAGCGCTGCAATAAGAGAGCGCCCCCTATGGACTGGAGCAAGAAAAACGAACTCTTCAGTAACCTATAGACCAGGGGTGACCAAACTTGCTCCTGGAGGGCCGGTGTCCTGCAGATTTTAACTCCAACCCTAATCAAACACACCTGAACACGCTAATCAAGGTCTTACTAGGTATACTTGAAACATCCAGGCAGGTGTGTTGAGGCAAGTTAGAGCTAAATCCTGAAGGGACACCGGCCCTCCAGGACCGAGATTGGTGACCACTGCAATAGACCTTCATCCACCCATTCATCCGTCCATCAGCTCTGTTTTAAAGGCTCCTACACAACTAATAATGGTCACTATAGCCTTATCTCCACCAAATCCACTAGACAACACACTTTTATTTATTATAAACACATGCTAGCTCGGTCACCTGCCACTTTAAGTGAAGTTTATTTCTTAACTAATTTTGAGAGGAGCACGTGCTCATGATTGCCTGCAGCTGGTCCCGCATTATTCATAAGCCACTATAAATACCCTAAGCTCCATATAACAGCCATCTTCGTTTTGAAGAATCCCCTCTTCCACCCCTCCTCCACCTTCTTTAGATGGGTGGCACGGTGGCTCAGTGGTTAGCACTGTTGCCTCAGAGTAAGAACTTCACTGGTTCTAGTCCTTACCAAGCCAGCCGACGTTTCTGTGTGGAGTTTACACGTTCTCCCCATGCTCACGTGGGTTTCCAATTAACTTAGGTTAATTGACTCATCCAAATAAGCACCATAGACATACTCCTAGTAAGTAGTTATCTCTTAAGAGCGATCACTATCTGTTTATTAGCTACTACAGCAGGGGAGTTCTCCAGATCTACCTGAGCTCAAACTCCCTGCAAACGGGAGAGAGCCCCGGGCTCGAGGATCTTTTTAGCTCAGAGCTCTCTCTTCTGGGACAGCATGCCAAACAAGCTTTATAATCAATCATCAGCTAAGTGTGAACTCTTGAAATGCTAAAATAAATAAATAAATGGATTCCCGTTAGCATCAATCATTTAAAGGGATAGTTCACCCAAAAAAATTACTATACTCACTATTTACTCACAATCAAGTGTGTATAAACCTTTATTAGCTTCCTTTTTTTTGTTGTTGTTGTTGATGAACACAAAGGAAGACATTTTGAAGAACGCTGAAAATCAAAGTAGTGACTCTCAACATTCTTCAAAATCTCTTCTTTTGTGTTCAACAGAGGAAAGAACTCATAAACGAGTAAAAAGATGAGTGAACGATAGATTTTTACATTTTTGGTTTGATCTGCCCCTTTAATAATTTGAATTTTATAATTATGGTTATCATTATTGTTGTGAAAGGGCCTGGAGACGTAATGAAACAGAGCACTTTATCATTATTATCATTATTATTATTATTATTAATGAGGCTAAAGTCATCAATATAGTAGGTTCTATATGATGCATGTACAGTGTGTATATGTACAGCTGAAGTCAGAATTATTCGCCCCCCTTTGAATTCTTTTTTCTCTTTTAAATATTTCCCAAATGATGTTCAGCAGAGCAAGGAAATGTTCACAGTATGTCTGATAATATTTTTTCCTCTGATGAAAGTCTTATTTGTTTTATTCCCGCTAGAATGAAAGCATTTTAAAAATTTTTTTAAAAACAATTTTAAGGTCAATATTATTAGCCCCTTTAAGCGATATATTTTCTAGATAGTCTACAGAACAAACCACCGTTAACCCTAACCTGCCTAGTTAACCTAATTACCCTAGTTAACCCTTTAAATGCCACTTTAAGCTGTATAGAAGTGTCTTGAAGAATATCTAGTCTAATATTATTTACTGTCATCATGGCACTGATAAAATAAATCAGTTTTTAGAGATGAGTTATTAACACTATTATGATTAGAAATGTGTTGGAGCCATTTATGGGTTGCAATTTTATTTCGCACCCCTAGAGGGTGTATATGGTATTTATGCTCTCCTCAGGATGAGCTGAGAGGTGTAGAAGGTCAAACAAACTTTTTGACCGTCATGGCTGAGAGAACGGGTTTATATTTGTTTTGATGTTTGTTTGTTTTTTTGACAAAATGGACAATAAATGGATTGGAATATCTAACTTCATTTGCAAAGGTATGGACGTTTCACTTTTTTATTGACCCATTCAAGCAACAAACGCGTCAGAACCAACGACCAAAATATTCGCATCTACAAATGTGCTGACGAAAATCTGCTCTTCGTTAAACAGAAATTGAGGAAAGAAATACACAGCGGGGGCTAATAATTCTGACCTCAACTGTACACACAAGTTTATATGTATTCAGAATGACGTATTTGCATTACTAACAGATTATTTTAGTACTACAAATGAACTGTGACAGATTTACAGTCACTGGCTGTGTTGAGAATGAAGAACTAACCTACTGCAATACTGAAAAACACTTATGTTTAATTAATAGTTTCTACATATATATATTTTTGTGATTCACTGGGGCTTTCAGTTTATAAATGCTTATGAATTGAGCTGAATTGAAGACCTTTTTTATTAGATGAAACCATATATTGTATAGGATATATTATATATTTAGAAATGTGTCTTGCACAATAGCACTACAGGAAGTACTACAGCGATTCACAGTAAATACTGTAGTGTTTACGATCCATACTATAGGACTTGATTTAATCTGTTGTGGTGATTCTACAGTTGCTATGGTAACACGACGACTATATTAATGTTTTCAGACCCCCTTAAATTTTTCACTCTGTTATCTTGTAGCCTTTTGCAAGCCTCTCCAGAGATGCTCAATTGGTTTTAGGTCAGGGCTCTGGCTGGGCCATTCAAGAACAGTCATATAGTCCTTATAAATCCACTCCTTCAATATTCCAGTGTTTCGTTTTTAATAAATCTGCAGAAATGTCAACAATTCTGTGTTTTTCTGTCAATATGAGGTGCTGAGTGGACATTAATAAGGAAAAAAAATTAAATGATTTTAGCAAACGGCTGCAATATAATAAAGAGGTACAAATATAGGGGGTCTGAATACTTTCCGTACCCACTTCAAATAACCCAATACTGTAGTTTTCGACTACTATACGATATGTTTTACTACAATACACCACAGTTTACTGTAAAACAACTAAAGTATACTACAGTGTGTATTAGTTCACTAATGCTAATAGTATGCTGAAGCATCAAGAGTTGAAAATACTCTAATATTGTGTATAGTAGTATGATTCAAAAACACTACAGTATTTACTATAGTAATTATTCATGTTTTTGTACTTTATGTAAGCATTAAAATGTCAATAAAAGCTACTTTTCGAGAGACCAAGCTTTCATAATGCATAAAAATATTTGCAAAATACAAAAAAAAAGAGATTAATTTAAGGTGTTTGCTATTATAAACAGTTATGGATTGCATTATGACCTCCATCTGACTTTTTAAAAATCAGTTTAAAACAAATCATCCTACAGAACATATTATACGTTTAGAAATATGTCTGAAAAAGCCCTTTTAAAAAGTACTACAGTGAATTACGGTAGATACTGCAGCATTTATGATCCATACTATAGTGAAGTACTTGATTTAATCGGTTGTGGTGATTCTACAGTTGCTTGGTAACCTGACAACTATAGTAATGCAGTGGGTATGGAAAGTTTTCAGACCCCCTTACGCATTCAGACCCACTTAAATTTGTCACTCTTGCAGCCATTTGCAGGTCTCTCCAGAGATGCTCAATTGGGTTTAGTTCAGGGCTTTGGCTGGGCCATTCAAGAACAGTCATTGAGTTGTTGTGAAGCCACTTCTTCGATATTTCTGTGTTTTTTTTTTAAACAAATCTGCAGAAATGTCAACAGTTCTGTGTTTTTCTGTCAATATGGGGCGCTGTGTGGACATTAATAAGGATGATAATTAAATATTAAAAATATTACAAATTTAAAAATTAAATACAGTATAATACGCTTTACTGTAGTATGGTTTAAAACACTGCAGTAGTCATTCATGTTTTTGTACTTTATTTAAGCATTAAAAATATCAATAAATGTACTTTTTTGAACTTTTCAGCATCAAAAGTTGCCGAATGAAAGATCAAGATTTCATAATGCATTAAAATAAGATTAATTTACATATCTTTGTTATTCTAGTGCACGCATTACACTCTGTATACCGTTTTAAAACATGGTAAACAGTATGGTGTTGTTGTGCTGTAGTCACAAACGACACTGCATGTTTAATTTAACGTTTATTATTTTAAAAATGACCTTTTTGTATGACGTTTTATGTAAATAAATGAATGTTTCCTGTAATGTTTGGATTAAACATGGGAAGAAAACTTGTGCCTTTAGTTCCTATTCATTCCAATGCAAGGTCAAATTGCGTTGCATTGTGGGATACAGTATTTCAGCAATAAACTGTGCACAATATTCATTGTATTAGTATGACATTCTGAACAGACATTCTATCTCATGCAGCATGTCTGACATTGAGCAGGTGTTTGTCTGTAAATGTGTGTGTGTGTGTGTGTGTGTGTGTGTGTGTGTGTGTGTTCTAACCAAACGATGATTAAATGATTTTCTAGCGATAATCATTTCATTGTTTTATAATGAAGGACCAAATGAAGACTAGATAAGAGTGCATCTCCTGACTGTCAAAATGCTTTTTATACAAAAGGAATCATGCAATATTGTTAACAGTGCTGTCCAAAACTCTGAAAATGCAATGAAATCTTTTTTATGAATATACAGTGTAAAAAGCAAACTAATCTTTTATAATTATACACATAGTTCATTTACTTAATCGTTAAGGTTAACCGGTTTACTCCTTTTTTTAAGTAAATCAACTAATCACTTTATTGGTAACTGCTTTACTCAATTTATAAACTAAACTAATGGCTTTAAAAGAATCAAGTTGACTCTTGGCTCACTCACTCGATAAAGCAAAGTCAACCAATCGTTTTCAGTCAACTAATCACCTTTAAAAGACAACTAATCGTTTTCCAAGTTAACTAATCACCCTTTTTTTAAGCCAAGCAATCGATTTTAGTCAACCAATCACTTTCAAAGTCAACCAATTGCTTTAAAAGAATCAGGCTTACTCCATAAAACAAAATCCACCAATCATTTTAAAGTCAACTAATCGCTCAAAGTCAACCAGCTGCTTGCAAAGATATCTAATCGCATTTAAAGATAACTAACTGCCTTTTTAAAAAAGCCATACAACCAATTCTAAAGCCAAGTAATCGCTTTCAAAGTCAACCAATTGCTTTTAAAAGTCAACTAATCGCTTTCAAAGTCAACCCATTACTTTCAAAGTGAACTAATAATCGCTTACAAAGTCAACAAATCCCTTTCAAAGTCAACTAATCACCCTAAAAAAAGCCAAGCATACAATGATAAAGCCAACTAATAACCTCAAAGTCAACAAATCACTTTCAAAGTGAACTAATTGCCTTTAAAAAAATCTAAGCAATCAATTATAAAGCCAACTAATTGTTTTTTAAAGTAAACTAATCCCTTGCAAAATGAACTAATCGCTTTTAAAAGGCAAACAAATCTCTTTCAAAGTCAACTAATCACCTTTTTTAAAAGGCAAGCAATTAATTTTAAAGCCAACTAATTGCTTTCAAAGCCAACTAATCACTTTTAAAGTCAACTAATCGCTCTCAAAGCAAACAAATAGCTTTCAAAGTCAACCAATCGCTTTTCAAGTAAACAAATCGATTTCAAAGTCAACCAATCGCTTTCAGTCAACTAATCACCTTTAAAAGACAACTAATCGTTTTCCAAGTTAACTAATCACCCTTTTTTTAAGCCAAGCAATCGATTTTAGTCAACTAATCACTTTCAAAGTCAACCAATTGCTTAAAAAGAATCAGGCTTACTCCATAAAACAAAATCCACCAATCATTTTAAAGTCAACTAATCGCTCAAAGTCAACCAGCTGCTTGCAAAGATATCTAATCGCATTTAAAGATAACTAACTGCCTTTTTTAAAAAGCCATACAACCAATTCTAAAGCCAGGTAATCGCTTTCAAAGTCAACCAATTGCTTTTAAAAGTCAACTAATCGCTTTCAAAGTCAACCAATTGCTTTTAAAAGTCAACTAATCGCTTTTAAAGACAACAAATTGCCTGTAAAAAAAGCCAAGCAATCAATTTCAAAGCCAACTAATCGCCTTTAAAGCCAACTAATCACTATCAAAGCCAACCAATTGCTGTCAAAGCCGACTAATCGCTTTCAAAGCCGACTAATCGCTTTCAAAGTCAACCAATTACTTTTAAAGTGAACTAATAATCGCTTACAAAGTCAACAAATCACCCTAAAAAAAGCCAAGCATACAATGATAAAGCCAACTAATAACCTCAAAGTCAACAAATCACTTTCAAAGTGAAATAATTGCCTTTAAAAAAAATCTAAGCAATCAATTATAAAGCCAACTAATTGTTTTTTAAAGTAAACTAATCCCTTGCAAAATGAACTAATCGCTTTAAAAGGCAAACAAATCTCTTTCAAAGTCAACTAATCACCTTTTTTAAAAAGCAAGCAATTAATTTTAAAGCCAACTAATTGCTTTCAAAGCCAACTAATCACTTTTAAAGTCAACTAATCGCTCTCAAAGCAAACAAATAGCTTTCAAAGTCAACCAATCGCTTTTCAAGTAAACAAATCGCTTTCAAAGTCAACTAATCGCTATCAAAAGTCAACAAACTGCTTTCAAAGTCAACTAATCGCTTAAAGAAAGCCAAGCAATCAATTCTAAATTCAACTAATCAACTAATGTCAACTTTCAAAGTCAACTAATCTCTTTCCAAGTCAACCAATTGCTTTTAAAGACAAGTAATTACCTTTTTAAAAAGCCAAGCAATCAACTTTAAAGTCAACCTTCAGTCAACTAATCACTTTTAAAGTCAACTAATCGCTTTTAAAAAAAGCCAAGCAATTAATTTTAAAGCCAACTAATTGTTTTCAAAGTCAACCAATCGCTTTTAAAGCCAACTAATCGCCTTATTAAAAGCCAACTAATCAATTCTAAAACCATCTAATCGCCTTCAGTCAACTAATCACTTTCAAAGTCAACTAAGCGCTTTTTTAAAGATGGGAAGCAATCTATTTTTAAAGTTAACTAATCGCTTTTAAAGCCAACTAATAAATTTTTAAGTCATCTAATCGCTTTGAAAGCAACAGGTTTACTCACTTTATGAGGTAAAATGTTAAGAATTGGCATGAGATAGCGTTGGGCAATCTCCCTATCCTTCAGCTTAGTACCTGATTAATCAGGGGTTACCACAGTGGAATGAACTGGCAATTACTTTCATGTAATTTTATACATTTTTATACAATTTATGGGGGGTATACTTTTATGTAATTTATGGGAAAACACCCACACACTCTCTTTTTCTCTCACACGTGAATGACAGTTGTATCCCTGATATAAACAAATGAAGAAATAAAAACAATGCAACATGACAAAATTACTAAATTCATTTAATACAAAAGGTTAGGAAAAACTAGGACTACCCATATCAGTGTTGTTACTGTATATTAAAACTAATCAAGCACATCACTGGTGTATAATATTAACAAGAATAACGGCTTGTTCATACCAAGAAGAATCACTATAATATGATAATAAAAATATATAACTGCAATGTCTTTATCAACATGCATGTTTCACATTACAGTTATTGTTCATGATGTGAATGCGCTTTAAAATGGACTAGCGCTAAATGCTAAAACCGGACTTCAGTTAAACAAACGCCATTAATTACATCTCGTAACTTGGTATAAAACATCAATTTAGACATATGGCACAGAGGAAGAGTGTGGAAATATCCCACATCGGACACATCAGATCGTGTGCAAAAGTAGAAATGCTACTTTCCATTAGCTTAGCTGCAGGATCAGTCTGTTAGCGTTAGCGTCATCCGACATTTGACTTATAATAAAAATATACATATGCTTTGGTACAACAAACAGGTTTGCTTCCCAATCAAATATACCTTTAGTGTACAATATACATATCTGATAAAGTTTAAATACTATTTTTGGACTAATATACGTTTAAAGATTAAAACAATAGTTCATGGTGCCTGCTTTAGGTGCATTAAGGCAGCGTTTCTGCATTCATGTTCCCTTTAAAAGCACACTTCATACAACAAACAAACGTCAGTCATGAGTTTTTACCTGCAAAGTCATTAAGAAAAATGAGGGATAAGCACCTCCTGAAGGCTGTTTACCTGCTGAAATGTACAGAAGTCACATGTAGTCCTTATAAAATAACATTTTAGAGCTGAAATGCTTTGGGAAGCACAGTCATGATGAATTGTAGCTTTACGCAACTCTATAAACGACAGTAGAGGTTTGGATTAGCATGGTGACAATAAATACTGACACTTTTGAGTGAATTCATTGTTCATAGTTTTGTTTTTAGCCTAAATATCTAAAAAAAAATATATATATATATAAAATCAAGAAGCATTTTTTAGACAAAGAAATAAATTCTAATGTTTTAATTATTTAAAAATTTATAAAAAAAAAATTTAACATTTACTTAAAACAATTTTTTTTTCAAATCAAACATTTTCTAAACCAAAAATAATTTAAAATTATTCAAAATTTTTTTTTTTGTTTTTAGGGCAAAAATATAAAAAAAAAACTGAAAAACAAAAAAAATTAAATAATAATACTACATTGAATTTAAAAATCCTTTTATAATTTGCAATTTATTTTAAAAACTTTATTTTGACATATATTGCAGCTGATGGACAACATAATGTACTTTTGAGGCTTTTTCAGGCGAGAATGTCGTAGTTTAGATTGCAACTATGCAGTTTATTTATGAAGATAGTGCCTGTTTTAAATAGTTATGATTTCGGAGATTAAGTGCATTGGCAAAAATTAGCCTGTCATACTGAGCAGAGCAAAGACTGTTCCGCCACAAGATGGCGACAGAAGCCCTTAGAGGAGAAAAACTCAGTGCTTTCATATTTCAAACTACAGCTGATCAAATCAATACAAATCAGGTAAGTCGATCTCTCTCTTTTGTGTGGTAGTGCTGTACTTACACCATGGTAATCTGTTAGTGTTTGCTTTTCTTTGGCTTTTTCGCAGTTAATTATTGTGATCTTCCGATTGCAACAGAGAAATACTGGGAAATCTCTGTAGACTGATGGCATTTCATGCTGTTCAGCCCTTATAATCTTAAAATGTGGGCAAAATCAGCTGTTTTGTCATCACGTTAGACATTACGCTAGAGAATCATTCAAACACAAGCTCTAATGAGACGTTGGTAAATGAGCAACGATTTCTGCTGTTCTGACATCAGCTGCAGACGTGTATGAGTGGCGGAAGAAAGTAGTTCCTCATGCAAAGGTATTTTTGAAACTCACAGTGTTTGATTTTCTTTTTTATATACACGATTATGCCGTTAAACTGTTGTATAAACACAATATCACATGAGTAGCAGTGTGATATGACTGTATATCAGCACTGCTGAGGCACTAAGGCACTCAGCCTGTTGCCTCGAGCCAATGCACACCTCCCACCAGTGCTGATATACAGATATATGTCATATTGCTCATATATATATATATATATATATATATATATATATATATATATATATATATATATATATATATATATATATATATATATATATATATATATATATATATATATATATATATATATATATATATATATATATATATATATATATATATATATATATATATATATATATATATATATATATATATATATATATATATAT